TCTCCATATATTTTCCTTAAAATTTTTCTCTCGAAACGTTTAAGCAATTCTTGGTCGTTCTGTTTCCTCAAGCCATAATAGCACTTACAGGCAAGCACTATTCTTCTTTTAATTACTTCGCTGACATTGTTGTCTTTGGTTAGCAGCGAGCTCAGGTAGACGAAGGTGTCCACACCTTTTAGTTCCAGATCATCAATTAATAGTCTAGGTATTATGTATCTATCTAGGTATCGTTTTGGATTCTGACAAAGTCGTAGACTTTGCAATTTACGTCTCAAGCTCTTTGTATCAATACTTTTATGGAAAATAGGGCCTCTCGCGTTCCCAGTCTGTTTCTAAACCCAAACTAAACACTGCTAATGTTTTCTTCAAGTTTTCTATATATGCCAGAGTGAATAACAGAAAGAAGGATTTTGAGTCCATTGCTCATTTAGCTTATAATTCTGTAATCAGAGCAGCTGGTGGCATTTGCCCTTTTGGGGAGAGGGATGAAGGTGGAAACTAGCCAATCTGTAGGAAATTCTGCAGTTTCATAGATTTTCATAGACTCGTTAGGTGTTTGAGTTGGTTGCTTTCAAATAGTTTCAATATTTTAGCTTGTATGTTATTAGGTCTAGGTGTTTTGTTGGTTTTTAGTATTTTTATTACATATGTAACTTCACTGAGCATTATTTCTGGTCCTGAACATTCAGAAACACTGACTTCTGTTTCTTGGTCTTCCTTGAATAATTCTTGCATGTATTGCCTCCATCTCTCAAATATTCTCTCATTTTTGTAGAGCAGATTGTTGTGCTCGTCTAGTATTAAGTTATGACTTCGTGATCCTTTTCCCACGGTTAAGTTGTTGATCTTTTTATGTAGGTTAAAAGTGTCATGCTTTTATTTTAGGATGCTATGCATTGATCTTGTAGCCATGATTCGTTTGCTTCTTTAATCTTTTTCTTAATGATTTTGTTTATTTCTTTGTACTTTTCCTAATTCTTATTTCTTTGTATTTTTCGTTCTTTCATTAGCTCTAATATTTCTTATCTCATCCACGGGTGTTTCTTTATACTGTTTTCTGATTTAAGTTTTTTATCTACCACTGAATTACAGATATTTTTGATTTTATCATGCTGTTTATTTTGTTGTTGATCTCCTCTTTGACTTCGTCTCTTGTGGTTTTATGTTTCAACTTCGGGATGTTCGGACGTTTTTGTACTTTTTTTTCATGGAGTTTTTTCTGTGTAGTTGGAAACGTCCTAATAAAAGATTCTGGTCTGATGGAACATCTGCTTCCGGATATATTTTTGTGGACTTTACGGAATTCTGAAATCGTTTGTTAATTATAATGTAGTCAATTTAGTTTCTAATCAATTTTTTTAAAGTCAGCTGGAGATTTCCACGTGTAAAGTCTTCGAGGTGGTAATTGAAAAAAGGTGTTCATTATTGCACTATCCGTTTCTTGGCAGAACTGAACAATGCGGCCTCCTCTATCATTTTGCTATCATTTCTTGTAAAAGTATAATAGACTGGTAAATAATATTAATTAGCAATTATATTGTGTCTTAATTTGATAGATTTGAAGAAATTAACAGTGTTAGTATACTGTCGATTTAGTTCTTTTGTTTATGGATTAAGATTTCAATACAAACCCACCAAAAACATCAAATTTGTGGTGAGAGTTGTTATCTTGAGAATATTTATCTTTCCGTTGAAATTGCTACCCTGATTTCACTACATTTTAGTAACATTATTACTCATTATATTATGCTAGCAACATTACATATCCATTAAAATAATTGGAACTGTTCTATGTGGATTAGCATCCTCCATCTCTATTTTTCACATGTGGTTGTCGTTTTTTATTTTTGAACAGGTGGTTAGTACACCAACAAGACTAAGTATTTTGGAGAGGTCCATTCTTGGAAATTATACAGTTTGAATGAGTCTCACGAACATTTTTCTGCATAAATTTCCGTCTGTAAGTACGTGTTAAGTTTTTTGTATCAATAAGGTATATTTGTTTTATTCACAAATTTAAATTTTTTGATTGGGCAGAAGATCGTTATTAAACGAACTTTCAATCTAGAGGTTGCTGCTGAATTATTTTCTTCATTTGAATCTACCGAAAATAGGAAATTGGAGAATGTACCATAGATATTTAAAAAAATATATTAAAAATCTCGATTTAAGAAATGTTTTTAGATCATTTAGAAGTTGTAAAAAAATATGCAGATTTTAGATCAGCGTTGTAGTAGGATTAATTAAAGGGTTAACCTTGTTTCATCGATTTTAAAAGACTTTTACCGCTGTATCGATGAAAATTTCCCAAAAGACTGTACAGAAGATAAATTAAAATTATTAAAGTCGGGCAATTTTTAATTAAAGGTGACTAATCTACAAATTGAACTAAACTGTAGCGGCAACCATGTAAAATGTCAGCAGTAAATTCTTACCGGGATCATTTTTATTGCTTATGGTTCGGCCATGTATATAAGTGAAAAAGGAAGATAGGCCTCATAAAATTTGCCCCCGTAACAATATAAATTGATGCGATTCACGAGTGTATAGTGAAACAAATTCATTGAATAGTTTGAAACATCAGTAAACTTATCAATATTTTGCTGGTCTATATATATTTACGTTCTTAGAAAGAATGGAAATGAGAGAAATACGATATTTTAGTTTATTCCTTCCACATTATATCTGTGCATAGGCGTAGGATGTTCTATTTTTTGGTAATATATTTATTATTAATTTTAAGATAGTTTAGAGGTTAGTAAAGTAAATTTGAGGCAAGTTTTTTCTTTATATAGCGTTAACCCATTAACGGCCGCTCAATATATATACACATAAATTAAGACTAATTTACAACCAAAAAGATTGTTTTTGTGATTTTCAAGGAAAACAGTACAATTTTTTAATAAAGGAACATATTATTGTATCTTAAATGTAATTTAAATTTTAAGGTGAAAATTTTCGAAACATTCGGGGTGTAAAGGCATTCTACACCTTTTACATAAATAAATACTATTACTTTTGCACATCCTACATTCTTGCACTATCGTCTCTTTTGTAATGTGGCCAATATTGTCGAATCTGGTTTCATCCGGTAAAGCAAATTTAGAATGACGTCCGTGTACTAAGTTTGACACTGATGTAGCAGTTTCTTCACTATTACAAATTATAAATATAAATCTATGTCGGGTCATGTTTTCTCTTATAATGTGCACTTCTTTCTCCTCATCCTTTGACCAATGGATATCAACTTGAAGCAGAGTGTAAACCAGATAATAAACATATGCTAATCTTTTTTTAATATAGGTTCTTCATTTAAAAGTCGTGATGGTTATTCTGCGATGCATAAATATTTGTAAAATATAGAATGGCTCTCAATTACTTTTTTAACAAAAAAAGTGAAAAACTTCCATATATAACTTGCCTCCATGGTTGGCTTTTATATTGTCTAAATATCAATCGGACTGATGTTGAATTACTACTTAGCACGAAGAAATATCTGTTGTTACAACTTGAGACACATTTGGATATACTATTTTTGCCTGTTTTTTTCTTTGGACGTTTTATCTTTGGTTCAGAGGAATATCATAATCAGAATCGTCAGAATTCTCAATCACTTGTATTTCATATGTACCTTAGGAACTTCCTAATCTAATCTCGGCGGCAAATAAACCACATTAAGTGAGTCAGTATTTTCACAATCTGAGGCTTCTTCTAACAAAGCTATTAACTCTTTAGTAGTTAGTGCCATCTTCATTTCATATTTCAAGAATTTTTTGAAATAAACAAATGCACTACTATATAAAAGTATTCACATGATAATAGTTTAGCTTACTTCATTTTAATTAGCAAGTTAATATCTAATAAGAATAAAATTTTACTTTATTTTGTTAGACAACTATAAGACAGCTGTGAGAAGACACATGATAATTTAATAATTATATGGGTCTTAAATTTAATTTTTATGTAATTACTTATGTGTTTTAACTAAGAATTAAATTTTTTTTTGGTACACCTCTGCAAAATTGATAAGTGGAATATGGTTTGTTAAGTGCGATGTTGCCAAGTAATCACCTTCATTTAAAAATTGTTTTATTATAACACTATTAAATGCAAACCAATATGTAGTCCTATATCTTTTCGAATTAATGGAAAGACACAGGAAAAACAGTTATTATAAAAAGATGTAATTGATATAATGAAATGATAGAGGACCAATGGTGTTTTATGTAATTTTTATGCAAAATACGAATACATTTGTAAAGAATGAGTTTCTCATAAATCATTCTATATCCCAAAAAGTATCAGTGAGTTTTAAAAATCCTTTGTATTTAATTTGTAATGTCCATTTTGACTATTTTGTCCTGCCACTGTTTATCTTCTTCTCTATCTATTACATACTTCGTTTTGTTAGGGCTTTTGAAGCTTTATTGAAAAATGAGAGAATTTAAAACATTTTATTTAAAAAAAAAAACGACTTTGTTGTATGGAATGGAAAGCTAAACACTAGAAGCGGATAATATAAAGAAGTTGGAATCATTTGAGAAAGTGGTGCTATAGAAGGTTTTTGAAAATACCATGGACCCAAGTTACAAATACAGAAGTGTTAAGAAGGCTACAAAAAGATTGCGAGGTCATAAAGCACATCAAAACAAGAAAGCTTGAATATTTAGGCCACATTACCAGAGCTGCAAAATATGAGATAGTAAGGCTCATAATGCAAGGTAAAATCAAGCAAAGATTCATAGGAAGACGAAGAATTTCCTGGCTGAAAAACTTAAGAGCGGTATAGTTGCAATTCAGTAGATCTTTTTAGAGCAGCCACCAATAAGGTATGTATAGCTGTGATGATAGCCAACCTCCGATAGGAGAAGGAACTACAAGAAGAAGAATTTAAAAAAAAGGAATATTTGCAGAACAAAATCAAGTATATTTTAAAGATTAACACAAAAACCATCCTTCTAAATATAAATGCTAACAAGTTCAATATTTTGTTTCAGGTGCACTTATATTTCAGCGCCCTTCCCGAAGACAAAGTGCCGTACGTGAACTCCGTGGGGGAGCGGTATAGAGTGAGGCAACTCCTTCAACAGCTGCCCCCTCACGACAACGAAGTACGCTACTGCCATGCCTTGTCCGACGAGGAAAGAAAGGAGCTCAGGCTTTTTTCGGCCCAAAGGAAAAGGGAAGCGCTGGGCAGAGGGGCTGTCAGACAAGTGCCCAGCAGCATGCAATGTGACGGGGTAAGTAGAAAGTTAAAATTTGAGGGAAATAACAGAAAGTTGTGTCTTGGCAAATTATTTTGTTCAATTGTTCATCCTCCACATTAAAAGTGTTGGAAAATATGTTTTCCACTATTATATTACAGTATAGAATTAAATCGCATTATGTGTTATTGATAATAAATTGCCATTTGCAAATAGAAACATAAAATTGTACAGATCAAAATTGTAATTGTAAAATATATTTCACTTTAAAGTGTTTAAGATAATCTATATTGCGCAAATAAATATTTGTAAAAAAACTTTTTAACAATCCACGTACTTGCCAACTTTTGCTTGAAAACTTTCGGATTTTACCCTTTCTCGAAAGACAAAGAAATCTTGCGAAGACTAATCGACTGAAATTTTCCAATCTTAGGAAAATCTACAAATTGAGCAAATAAAACTGAAAATATCTCTGGAAACTTTTCCGACTTAATTCCCCCTTATCTGCCGATCGTCTAATGGCGAATGGCAGTAATATTTAAAAAGCTCCTTCGAGTAGGGCCCTCTTCTCTCATTAGAGACACTTCAGAGAGCTAATGCACTAGTTATAATTATTGTCGGACCTTAAGCACTTCCAATCCGGATCATTAATCCCAGCACTGCTTTTTCTTGCGATTAAATTTTAAGTGGGCCTTGAATAATGACTTTTCGCTTTAATAATTGTTTGGATGAACGGGTGTCGATTAAAAAACTAATTTTATACTGCAGAGAACGAGAAGGTCACTGACTGGATTATTGACGATAAATGACCTGTATCAAAATTACTAACGATAAATTAAATATTAGTCAGAAAAAAATTCGGAATTAAATAAAAACAATGAGAAATGCTAAAAAATATTTTTTTAACACAAATTCAATATGAATATATTATACTTAACTGGAGTAAATCAAGTTTTTTGCACATATGGGCCAATCCAAGGCAGGATATGAATCAATACATGGAGGACTAGGATTTGGAAATAAAAATGAAGCTGTAGATGACATGCTGGAATTAGCAACAGCGTTAGATATGGCCATTCTTTCAAAAGAGAAAAAATCAACTATAGTTTATTTTTATGAACGAGAGAGTAATTAGCATAATTTTAACTGGTATCTCCGACCACTCCATGGGCGTGCTCAAGATTAATTTAAAAATTACTTTGAATAATTGTAAAAAATGAATTATTTCAGTGTTATAAAGTGTTATGTGTATGTAAACAAAAGTGACCTCTTTTATCACACACTATATTAGAACTGACTGGCCTACATTAAAAAGAGTTTTCAAAAATTCACATTTTTTTTATTTTTAAAAATTACAAAAGAGAAAAAGAGTTTTTAAAACCGTCTAAGGTATGTTAAATAGATGAATAAAAATATTAATATAAAACTTACAGCTACTTGTTACAAATCCAAATCAGATTCAGAAGATGAACTTTCAGAACCAAGATATATAATAACTGGCTCGATCATTTTATCAGTAATATTGTCCAGCTTCCACATTTTTTCCTCTTCTTTAATAGTGTGATTTACTGCCTCTTCCCAGTTTTCAGGTTTTACATTATTTACGGCCTCCAAAAACAACTGTTTAACATCATGAATTTTAAAAGTGGTATTTTTTCTTGAAACTTCACTCTTTATCTGTGCCCATACCAGTTCAATCGGGTTTAATTCACAATGATATGGTGGGGATCTAAGTACTGTCATTCCACGATTTTTGGCAATTTCATCAATTTTGTGTTTTTAAAATTTTTCTTTATGAAGGGCACACAACGAATAAAGTTCCTTTCTTATAGATCCGGGATGGTACGTAATATTTTTTGAACTCAGCCAATTCTGCAAGTCTTTTTTTAACCACTTGGTTGTGGGCAGTCCTTCTATAAGTCTGGAGTGATAACTTGCATTACCCATTACTATTACACAGTTCTGAAAGACATCAGCGTTCATGTCTTCATGGTAGTCACCGGTACGAGTTGATTCAAAAGTTAATAAACCACCTTCAACAAAACCTCTGAACTGCCAATGTGTACTATTATTAGCCTGCGTCCCTTTCCTGATGGTGGGTTTAAACCAGTAGATAAGTTATTTACAAAAGCGTGCCTTGGACTTGTAACAGTTTCATCCTGCCAAAATTTATTTGGTGTATGACCCTCGTTGATCCATGTTTCATTAAGATAAAATATTTTTCTTTTTTGGTTTCTCATTTCCTTTATGGTTCTTAGAAAATGTCTTCTCCATATGACAATATCGCTTCTTTCTAATAAAATAGACTTTCTGGGATTCTTTTTCCAGCGGAAGCTCATTTCTTTTAAAAGTTTCCATAACGTACTTCGACTCATTTCTGGGTAATCCTTATCATCTCGAACTGAGACAAGAACTTTATCCAATGTTGGAAATTCTTGTCTAAAGAAGAATTCATGTACTTTCCGTCGAAGTCCTTCTTTAAAATGATATTCTATTTGAAATTTTGGTTTCCCTGGAGCATTACGTGGCATTTGAAAACTACCACATTTCTCTTCTTTAATAACTCTGTAAATCGTAAATTTCCCAACACCAAGTGTACTGCTAACTAACTCAACGGTCTCATCAACACTTTCACATAAACGTTTGTCTGTAAATGATTTAAAGCAACTAAATATTAATGTTTTTTCATTAACTGTTAAAGGACCAATTTTTCGGCGTTTACACGGCACTTCCAAATTTTCCATAACACTAGTATACACAATAAACTGCACCTTGCAACTGAAGTACCTACTTTTAGTGAACTGTTAAGAATTTTGAATACGCCACTTGGACGTTCCTACAAAATGGAAAAACCCACTACCACATTTTCTGTGGAATAAGTTTAGAAGGTAATTATCTAGTCAATTACTGTCGTAGATTCCTGGAATTAAAGAATTAAATGTTTGATTGTTGAAACCCTTACTTCGTGGAATGCACTCATTTCAGATAAAATAAAACGTTTTATTTTATCTAAAGAATTAAACTTTATTTTGCAAATAGGTAGGTACTTATTAAACTTTTATTGGTTATATATAACCAATAAAATAAACATCTTACATTTCTTGCAAATTCATTAGTACCTGTTAACCTCCATCACTCCGACACTGGCAACCTTATTTAGGGATTAGTACCCCTCACAACTATTGTATTCTATTCTGCTCCAACCTTTATACCTGGTGGTCATACTCAATTTAAAATTGTTTTCCTATATACTTCTGTAAACTTGTTGACAAATATCTGTTTTTCATTGAGTCACCCGTATCAACAGTTTAGGGATTTGCATACATAATTTATTGTTTTATTACTCTCTCATACATAACAATACACTATAGTTACATATAAAGGTAGACAAAATCAATCCCAAATAAATTATTTCATGACAAGAAAAGAAGATATACATGAATGTAAAGACTCTAAGGTAATTGTTAGTGATACAGTAAGCCAACAACCTGTTGCTTAGGTTGTTGGCCTAAAAAGCGAAACCAAACCAAAATATCGGAGAAAACCACAAAAAAAAAAATAAGTAGTGGATGTTAAAAGATGAGGGAGAAGGTCAATTCAGGGCAAAACTAGTATAAAAAATGTGTTGGAGCACGAAAGGAAGTCCTAATACAATTTGGAGGAAGGCCAGTATCGCTAAAGATACTTGAAAAAACATCAGAAAAGAAGTTTGAGAATAAGAAGACTTGGTGGTGGTCTAACGAAGTTCAAGAAAAAATAAGAGAGAAGAGAAGATTATATAAACAGTGGCAAGAAAATAAATCGGACACAGATTTTTAAAACTATACGGTCGCCAAAAAGAAAGCGAAATTGGCAGTAGCAAAAGCTAAAGCAGAAGCGTATAATAATCTATACAATAACTTAATACCAGGAAAGGAGAAGCGAAGATATATAAAATAGCCAAACGTAGAGCAAAGAAAGCAAAAGATTTTAAAGAGAAGAAAAAAGTACTTTAACAGATTATTAAATGAAGAATTTGACAGACAACCGGTTGAGTTAACGGAGACAGTAACAGCAATGGTGACCGAAATAACAAATGAAGAAGTGGCTCAAGCAAATCAAAAAATAAAGAAAGGAAACGCAGTTAGACCGGATGATATTTCTGGGGACGTGTTGAAAGCATTAGGAGACACAGGGACAAATTGGTTAACAGATCTATTTAATAGAATTGTGGAAGTTGACCAATGCCAGACGAATGGAGAAGCAGTGTATGTCTGTTTACAAAAACAAGGGAGATGTACAAACTACAGGGCCATAAAACTACTTAGTCACACCATGAAACTATGGGAGAAAGTAATTGAAATACGGATACGTAAAGAAATCAAAATATCCGATAATCAGTTTCGCTTTATGCAAGATAGATCAACAACACACGCCATTTTCATTATAAAGCAGTTGATGGAAAAATACAGGAAAAAAAGAAACAAACACTAATATGATATTCATATATGATATGATATTCGAGACAATCCAGCTTCTTTTAATTTTAAACTTCTTAAAATTTTATCTAAAAGTTCATGTAAAATTCGAAAATAAAATAAAAAAATATTACTTTTCAACTTACTTACTTTAATGAAAACTTGTCATGCCACACAACTTATTATTAGTAAAATTAATATTAAACCCACCTGGTTGCCGGGTTAAACCGTAGCGAATTTACGTACAAAGTCGAAAGCTCGGACTTTCTCTCTGAAGTCTTCATCAGGGCTTCCGGGATCTCAGTCTCCTGAGTCCTTAGATCACTTCATTTGTGCATTGTTCACTGTTCATTGCACTACTACTGATTGGTGGTGACTTTTGGAAGTTTTCTTTGTCAGTAAACTTATACTTATTACATCTGGGTACTCGAAGTTAAACATAAGATTTAATTTTATAATGATCCTGTTATTACTTTCTCACAAATAAAAAGACAACCAAAAAAACATAATAATGAATAATACAAGTCAAGCCAAAACCGAAAATAAAGATGTATGTCAATTGAAATGCAGCAATGTCGT